CATCTTGCTTTTTTTTTTTTTTTTTAATAGAAGTAGGATAGGATGTACTTCCTTTGCTGCTGGTTCACCAGAAAGTTTATCTTGTTTTGCAAATAACTGGAATATATGCTGGGTCTGGGATTAAACTAATCAAGGTTTGGAAGTAGTGGAAAATGTAAACTAAATACTTTTTTCATGGGGAGGAGTGTCAGTAGGAGTAGAACTTAGCTGTTTTCGTTGCTGATAGTGATAATGATCTCTCTTTAAATAGCATCCTTGCTGTTAGAGCTGCTGAGCTAGCCCGAGTACAAAGGCCGGTTAAGTTATAGAGTAGCTGAAATGTTACGTAGATCATCTGGATTACACTGATCAATGGGGCCAGATGAACTATTCCATAGTAAGATGCTTTGATCTTCCTAACAAAGATATAATACTGTCCTAGAAGTGATTTTTAGGATGTTTCTAAGTAAAAGAGGAATGCAAAGTGCTAGGAAACTCCTGAACAAGCTGCAGTTTTATGAGGCTTTAAAGTAGGCCAAATTCTTGCTCAGGAAATTCCCTCTGTGGTTTCTTTTGGACACTGTTATTAATTTCTTTGTTGTAAGATGCTATATAGACTTACTTGCATTATTAATCAGATGCCGTGTTTCAATAGTGAGATGCATTTTTCATATCCCTTAACTGCCTCTCAAAGGGTTGTGCTTTTTGAATGATTATTTTCTTAATATGCTTTGCTGTTCCCAGATCGGAAGTGTGATCTGCTAATATGTTAATTCTCTCAATTATTCTTTATCTAATGTTTTTATTAAAGCCTACACTGTTGCCTTCAAGTTGATCAAAATCTACCTGTTTTACTCAAGAAAAGGAAGCTAAAATGCAATTTACAAAGACTGATAATTTGTAAGTTAGTGTATGGTAGTATGTGTGCTACTCTGCACTAATGATAAAACCTGAAGGAGCCTGCTGCTAACAAGGCCATAACAGTGGTATTCACAAAGGAGATCTGAAGTACCAAAATGCAAAGCAGTTCCAGACAATTGAATAAGCAGAGAAATACTGTGTTTTCCTGCATTTGTAAAATACATTAATAAATAAGTACTATTTATTATTATTAACTATTATTATTTACTATTAAGCTCATTATTTTTTCCCCTTTAGGTTTTAAAGACAAGACTGGCTGTGGGTAAAACAGGGCAGTATTCTGGGATGTTTGACTGTGCTAAGAAGATCTTAAAAAGAGAAGGTTTAAAGGCCTTCTACAAAGGCTATGTTCCTAATATTCTGGGTATAATTCCTTATGCTGGCATTGACCTTGCTGTTTATGAGGTGAGTTTAGATAAATGAATGCATATAACTTTCATGAGTTAATTTACAAAAGGGATAAATACTTTTTAGAGTAGCTGTATAATTAGTTAGATTTATAATAAGCTTGTAGTATTACAGTTGCCTTCAAGTTAGAATAGACAAATGGGAATTTCCACTAATCTTGCTGGACTTTCACATATTTTTTTGGTTGGCCCTCCTGGAGGAGTGCCTGTGCCAACAGGCCTTTACATGCAATAGTACCAAACAAGAAATCTACTCATAAGGCAGGATTATACAGACCTTGGCATTACAACATGCTTGCATATGTAAATAACTCTGGACCAGAACATACCCATTCTATAGCAAATATGGGTGTTAAAAACCTGATGTGATACTCATGTTACCTATCCTGCATTTATGATACTTAATACATTTTTTGCCACTTTCTCTGATTTATAATTGGATTATAGTAACCTGAATTTCTTGTGTGTCTGTGCATGTCACCAGAATTCTTTGTGGCTGACATAGTTGTGAGGAGTTTGAAACACGGCTGTCTTTCCTTTCAAGAGGAACTGACATCTCTTACACACATCATCAACAATTTAAATGTTTTATCTACCTTAGATGCTAGGTTTTGCTTCAAAGTGTGTTAAGTAACTGAGATGCACAGACTAATTTTTTTTCTAGTCTAGACAAATCTTTTTGTGACACTTGCAATAGTAATCAGCAGGATTGCTTGAGCAAATGTTTTCAAACCAGTATGGAAGTTCTTTTCTACAGTTTGCATGCTTGCTTCTGCATGGGGTGATGCACGCAGCTGTACAATCTTTTGTTGCACCCTGTGGGGTGCTGAGTCATGTTCCCCTCCTTCTCCCCCCCAAAGTATTAGCAGGTCTAGAACATGGGCACTGTTCCTGCTGCTGGATCTTCTAAGGATTTCTCTTCTAGGCACTAATTACTGCAGTCTGGTTAAAGTCCTTACCTGTGTGCTACGGTGTTTACCTGTGCACTTTAAAAATAACCATGTAGAACTGGGGTAGTGAGCTTGGTGCCTTTCAGGACTGAGCCTATAAGATTTTTTATGAATAAAGAAGTATTTATTTACTTTCTTCAATGCAGATCTCATATCTTAATATTTAATTTTATATCTTGGCAGCTTTTAAAGAGTACATGGCTAGAACACTATGCATCAAGTTCTGCTAACCCAGGTGTTTTTGTGTTGTTGGGATGTGGTACTGTTTCCAGCACGTGTGGGCAGTTAGCCAGTTACCCTCTTGCTCTTATCAGAACACGCATGCAAGCTCAAGGTGAGTCCTGTTGTACTGAAAATGTTTCTGTGTGCTCACATCATCATTTGGGGTAGCTGTAGCAGACACATGGGAATAAAAAAACCCAACTTGGAAAACCAAGGACTTCTTTGGATAATTCTTCTTAGCATTGGTCCATTCTCCTTATTACCCCCAACATTGTTCTTCATCATACTTGATTCAGATGTAACATTTCAGACACTAGTGCTCTGTGTGCTCTGAGAGACATATTCCATACAAGACTACTAGGCATAGAACTCCTGTCATACTCTGGGAGCAGTTTTCTAAAATTTAGAATGTTTCCTAAATTTTAGAGGTAAAATGAAAAGGACTTGCATCGTCCTGTCAAGGCAGACAGCAATGTTTGCTCTGGAGGACAGTTCATAAAGACAGTTTCATAGCTGAGATTTTTATTTGATAGGTTTGTTCACAGACTTAAAGATAGGAACCTAGATTTCCAAAGGAATGCAGGTGAATAATGCTTTTCAGTGGGATTTAGACACATGGCTATCTCTCAAATATCTGGGATTAAAGATCTCTCCTCTCTGTGAGGACTCAAGTTTTAATCAGTGGCCCTGGAGGTGATAGTAGGGCCACCACCCAGCTATTTAATACTTGCTTAAGAATTTTAATACCACTATAACTGTTGTGTAACACGTTACCTTTTTGTTCTAGCCTCAGTGGAAGGAGCTCCACAGCTAAACATGGCCAGTCTCTTTCAAGGAATTATTTCTGCAGAGGGAATCAGAGGACTTTACAGGGGCATAGCCCCTAATTTTATGAAAGTGCTGCCAGCTGTTAGCATCAGCTATGTTGTATATGAAAAAATGAAGCAGAATTTGGGAATAGCATGAAATGAAGGAAAAAGGTGAGATGCTTCTAATGTTGTTGGAAACACCAGAACAAAAATGATTTCTGAAGTAATCTGCTCTCACAGAGACAGATCTTTATGGAGAGATGCTGAAACTTCTACTTTTGCACTTAAATGGGGACAAACTTTCTTAAATTCTAGTTCACCTCTTCTAAACAGATACCTATATTGCACTTTAAAATGTCACCGAGTTTAAAAAAAGAAAAAACAAGAAACTATCTTTTAAATCAACAATATGTTTATATCTTCAGAAAATCATGCAGATTTTTCTCATTGGCTTTTTTGTATTTGTTTTCTCTAAATGTGTATATGGCTTGGATCAAACCAAAGGTTGAAGTTTATACTGCCTTGATACTGAACATATGAAAGTGACTTTTTGTTTTGTCACGCTGCCTATACTCAAGCAATTCACAGGCAACATTTTACACGCCTAGAAGTAAACACTGTTGTTATTTTTGAAGATTTAAGTTCGTAAAGACATGATCTTAGATACAGACAAGGATGGAGTAACACATTAAAATGTAGCCCATCACTTTTATCTTCAGGCTAGCCTTTTTTTCTTTTTTTTTTTTTAAAGAATAAGAGCCTGAGAAACTGCTGTTCATGGTATCAGAATACCTCAGATGGATTTACATGGTGTTTTTGTAATGCAATCAGTGATTTTCATAACATGCTTCACTGGACCTGCTTTTCATTGTACTTGTAAATACTAGCATCATTAACCATGAGAAACTTTGAGTTACAGCTGCATGTTTTATAGGATCATAGTATACAGGAACAGAAAAAGCTTGGTTACTAGATCCATTCCATACAAGTGCAAGTTACTGTTTAAAAATGAGATGGAGGATCCAGTGTTAAGCTGATAATGACCGTAACACAGCCAATAGCAGAGCTCATCTTAGCTGCCTCGGGGAGAGAAATGCTTCTCATTTTGGACTTCCCATTCTTTCCCTTACTCAGAGGGCTACAGTCCACTATAGGCTCTTAGCCAATAGAGGATTGCTTTATTATGTAAAGGTTTTACAGATTTGTCACGTGAGATAAATCCTCATTCCCTCACAGTTTTCTGTGCATGCTGACTGTGTGTGTTAAATTCAGGGTAATATAATGAAGCATTTGGTCCAAGTGACCAAATGGGACTGCTGATCTCAGGTGCCCATCAGATTGATGTTAATGAAACAAGCAAATCACAGAGAACTTGTTAGGGCTTGAGAAACAGCTCCTCCTCAAAAAACAAAGCAGCACTTTCTCAGTGTAGAAAGTAAGTACAGGTACCTCCAAAGTGACTGCCTTTTTTTGGGGGTGGTGTTGGTGCTGCATTTCAGTTGCCTTCAGGCCTGAACCCTGAAACAGATTAACAGTTATTGCCAGACTCATTTGTTACGCTCTTTCTGCTTTCTGCAATGTGTGGTGTCTTAATTGGTGTAAATTCAGGATTATCTTTATACTTATCTTGACCTTGTAAAAGTAACTACTTTTAGACTACTTCCTGAAATTGGATTACTGAAGGAAGAATTTTGTTCCTATAAGGTCATTCAGATTCTCTTTTTAAATTTTTTTTAATGATTTTTTTAACAAACAAATAAGCAAGCAAACATGAATAACTGCCTGAACCTCCCTTGTTCTACATGCAGGAGACTATTTGGGCTGTATTTTTCAAAGAGCAATCAGATGTAAATCTGTGTTCAGTGCTTCCATGGCTGGTGTTTATTCTCCATAAACTGATATATAACCACTCCATAAAATTTGTGTTATATTATTTTATCAGATTTCAGAGAATGGCAGCTTTAGCTGTGTCTTTTGGCTTTCCCTTTAGGGAAACCTTCGACTTTGCACTTTAAAAAAAAAAAAAAAAAAAGTCATTCTGTCCAAATCTTCCATATTGCAATGTCTTTCTGATCCAAACATTTCTTGGTTTTGCCAGCATTCTTGTATCTTTGTGGTATTTGTGAAGTCAGTTCCCAATCATTTGACTGTGACCAATGAACAAACATATTGTGCGTGTGATGCGAAGATGACTTTAGCAGTATCTATCTTCTAGACTTGCTCCATTTTGTTTATAGTGTGCAAGTGCCATTATGAGTATTGAAAATTACGGTAAAGATGTTTTCAAATGTTGAAAAGGATACGATCTCTCAAATTTAGTTTTTCGTTATGTGCTTTTATGATGACTGTGTTCAATTGTGTATTCTTTGTCTCTTAAACATATGTTTACCTTTTTAGCTCTATAAAACTACTAGTTTCTAATAAATATTCGTTTCCTTATCTGGCTGGAGTGTATTGATGTTTTTTTTTGTGGCCTGATAAACAGATAACACTTTTTTGTTGTACTATATGCATAATACTGAATGTGAAAAATGAAGGTAATTTATCTAAAAACAAGTTTGAGCCTAGCCTACACTTTGCCAGTACACTGATATTTCAAAACCTAGTTTGAGATTAGTCGATTGTTGAGCTGTTTAAAACTGTCTCATCGCTTAATGGAAGATCACGTAATGTTTAATATTTTTGCTTGTTCATTGAACAGTATTACACCATGATTTGCTTCTGTGTACACTGTGTGACGGAACTCTTAATAATAAGGACAAACATATTTGCTTGTGTTCTTTATCTTGCTTTGGTGTTGATCTTACTTGTTAGTCAAAGGATCAATATAAAATCTTTTCAAGGGAATTGACTTAATTTACTCTGCATGTGTAGCATGACTATCCTACTAAAAGCATGCTCAGTAGCCAGGCTGGACAACACATGAGTTTTTCACAGCAATCCTTCAAATGTTAAAGATAATTGTAAACAAATTAGGGAGGCTTTTCTTGTCTCCGATTCCTGGAAATACAGTTCTTATAAGATTATCAGTTTCCTTTTAAATAACGGAAGAGGTAGATGCTCGGTGTGTGGTTCCTGACTACAGAACAATCTGACATTCGATTCTACTTAAGGCAAGGATGCTTTTAACTGGAAATTCTCTGGAATTGGAAAGGCTGGATTGTGAAAGATCTCCGTCACAGTGATCAAGTGGTAAGGTGTGCTCTTGAAGGTGTCTTGAGTTGGATGGTCCCCTCGTCCCCTGCAAAAAGAAAATCTAAACTGTTACAAAATGTAGCACAGGTATTTAGAATATTGCTTTCAAGTTAGCCTGTTGGGAAACTGAATTATGCAGTTTTTTTATCAAAGACTGGTCCTGATAAGATGCTTTTTCGATGTATAGGAGTTGTTACACAGGCAGTAGGTATGATACTTGGCTTTTGAAACAGCGCACATCTGCAGTGTGTGTAGTACCATTATTTCTAAGTGCTTGCAACTACATGCAGATTATGTTAAAATAACACTGAGGCAGCAAAAACACAGGGACAAGCTGTCTGTTTAGGATAGCATACTTCTCTCCTTAAAAATATTTTTACTATAATCTTGAAGTTTGTGTGTTGGCCAAGGGAAGTAGAATGCTAAGCAAGTATATCAACTGTTTCTTCAAGCTTGTTCCTTTAGTTTTTAGTGTATTCCTCCAATGTATTTTCATACTCTGTTGAAATAGTGTGTTTCCGTAATGCATTCTGAGTTCTTAAATTAGTGGTGAGGATTTGTATGTTGCTGACTACTTTTGTCCCATCTTAAAAAGTTTAGTTTGAAACTTGCTAAATTCTGTGGTCCAAAAAAATCTTTCACATTTCTTCTGTATCTTATCTTTTCCTAGGTGCTTAATATTTTTCAAAATGTATGCAAGTATAGTGCCTGTAGATCATATGAAAAATATTGCCATTCAACTTGCTACTGCCTCTTTAGTTAAAGAAACTGAGGCATGTAGATGTAAATCATGTAGTGTCATCAGTAAGTTAATAAGAGGTTCAGGAATTGTGTGTCCACATCCAAACTGATTCTGAACAACTCTTAGCTTTTCTGGGGTGTTCCTTGAGCAAATGATTCTTCCTGCGCATAGGCCTATACATAAGAGCCCCCAAAGGGAAAGGAAAAGCTTTCGTTTTCCTTTCCAGGTAGGTATGGGCTGTGACTGCTATTCAGTAGCGTTAACACTAGAAAACACTGCAGAAATGGCTTGGAATTTAAAATAGGGCTGCCAATGTGTGTCTTCCCCTCTTGACTGTGGTGGGCTCCCTGGCAAGATATGCCTGCTACAGCAGTGGCATTCCTCACAACAGGACCAGCCCAGGCCCAAGCTGTCTTGCATACCTGCTGGTGGCAGTGCTAGCGTGAATACTGTGTATTGAAAGACGCTTGGCAGCTTTGCTTTCTGCATAAGAACACCGGCTGCTGCTGCACTACCCAGGTGAGGGGGTGCAGACCTGCCTGATGCCCAATTTAGCCTTCTGAGGCCCAGGCTGAGATGGTGCCTGTTCTTGCACTGTTTGCTTTCAAACGTCTGAGCTAGCTGTACTTGTTGGTATGCAGCAGAACATACTGGCATTTTTTCCCTTCTAGTATTTGAAGGTTAGAGAAGGTATGGCAAGAAGTGGAGCATCTCTCCTACAAGGAAAGGCTGAGGGAGCTGGGCTTGTTCAGCCTGAAGAAGAGAAGGCTGAGAGGGGACCTAATAAATGCTTATAAATATCTTAGGGGTGGGTGTCGGGAGGATGGGGCCAGACTCTTTTCAGTGGAGCCCAGCAACAGGACAAGGGGCAACAGGCACAAACTGAAGCATAGGAACTTCTGTCTGAACATGAGGAAGAACTTCTCCACTCTGAGGGTGATGGAGCACTGGAACAGGCTGCCCAGGGAGGTTGTGGATTCTTCTATGGAGATATTCAAACCCTGCCTGGACCAAGGTCCTGTGCAGCCTGCTCTGGGTGACCCTGCTTTGGCAGGGGGGGTGGGTGTGTTGCAGTATGTGTGACGCTGCTACACGTAAACTACTAAAATATGAAGGATGTCTTAACTTGCCGGCTATCTGCCATGTCAGGAGGTGTAGTTTTTAAATGCTTCCCCTTCTGATGTCTCAGTGGTCTTGGGGATGGCTTTCAAGGCTTGCATTAAGACAAGACGCTGATCTAAACTGTATGTTGTGGAGAACATAATTGGTGAGAACTGGATATTCAACACAGTGATTTTTGAATATTAGAAGTCTTGCTGTGTGAATTACATCTAACTTCTAAGCCCTTCTGGTGTCTGAAAATGTGTAGAAAAATCAATTTTTTTGTCAATATTTGTGCAATTCAGGGTAAAAATTATTTGTGTTCTGGCAAATAACTGTGTGAGTAT